CTTTCCCCCCTGTAATACTGTTACTGAATTGTACCTACATCTGGCTACTGACCATAATAAAGGATTTGATTTAGAATATAGAATGAATGCAACTTCTTAAGATTGTTTGCACTGAATTTGTGTCAACAGAATATATCTAATCTACCTGAATAAACATATATAGAAATTAATCCAAAATGTTAAAAAAGGTTTCATGGTAACACAGCAATCCAAGTGCTTATGGTCAAGTAATCATAATGAAAGAACCACAGGAAAAAAAAATCAGTGGAAAAGCAAAACCTTAGTACCAATCTCTAAATGGATGAGGCTTGAATTATTATGTATAATGTTTATTGATCAAGTGGGATTAGGGAGTCTGATGTGAATTTCAAAAGGGCAAATACATTACCTAAAAATGCTAAAAAGACAATTGCTTATTTCAGACTGATAAACACAAGAACACATGATTACTGTAAAAAAATGCAATCAGTTATCTAAGAAATACCATGATCACTTTTCCAATTCTAGATGTCACGCTTATTATTTAATTAACATGCTACTTAGTTAGCATGTTAACAACACAGTATGCCTGCCACTATTACATAATAAAATGTTTATTACATATTTTAAATGACTTTCTGTTGGTCAGAATACTCACCGAGTCCTGAACATCAGAGCAGGATCCATATTAACAGAAGCCATTCGGCCCACGTGGCGGATCTCTTTTGCAATCATTCTTAGTTTCTCAAAATTGACCAAACCTTCCACTTTGGAATCATTTCCTGTATTGCAAAATAATTATTGGCAAGGAACTATAGTTTTCTTCCATTTGTTGCAAAAAGAACTGACACACTTCAGCAGAATGCTGAAGAAATTGTAAGTACCTGATCTACTTTTCACTTACCTTCATGAAGAAATGTAAGATCCTTTTTTATTACAGGAAACAATGGAATAATTGGAGGCTGTAGATTTTGACTATTCAAGACATTGCGGTATTTTGCCATGTTCCTAGATGGATCAAATAAGTCCTGAAGATCTTGAAACAATTTCTCATATTTGCTTGGAAGTTTTTCCCACGTGGTTCTTAATCTTGCAACTGGAGCTAAGTTCAGACCACTAAACAATATGTTTAAAAAGGTTTCTGAAGTTTGCATGTGTACCATTCATACTCAATTTGTAAAGCAAGAATCAAATCAATCCAGTTAATGTAATAGATGGCTGAAATTCATACAGCAGTAAATAAAACCATGCCTTTCAAGAATTTAATCTTAAAATAGAAGCTCTTGTATAAACAGAAATATTAAAACAATATTTGTGAGTTGGAGGACAATAAAAAGATAATACAGTATTTCTCTTTTTCTAAAAGTTCTCCCAGGTATTTTACAAGACTGCCAATAGCATGGCAATAGACATTTTTATAAAAAAGCATCATTTACAGTAAAGATGTGACAATGATCATCAGTAAGCATTTGTTAATGCCAGATGGAAGAACTGTAAGGGGTTGTACAGTGAAATCTATTCAGAAACTGCAGCTGTAAAATGGTATGAGTCATTCCTTAATATACTAGCAAAAGAAGCATGTTATTACCAGAGGTTTAGAAGAGACACTGACTGGCTATGCCTATTTGGCTATAATGGTGGTATTTATTATAAAAAGCTCTCTTTGCTTGAGTCTCAGTTATTTGATATTCAGCCTTCCTTCTCATAGACAGTAATTTCACTAAAATACTCAAACAAAAATGCCTGAATCAAGTGGTCCTAAAGTGTTTCAGTGGTATTAAGATATTAGCAGGTATCAAAATTGCATAGCTTCATACTTGGTCAGAGTAACATGGGGAAAGAAAAAAGACACAGTCACCTCAATATAAACTTGCTGCACCATGTCCCAAACTTTGATACTTAAGATTTTAAACCATAAAAAACTCCAGAAAACATATAAGATGTTCCTGTGGGGACCCAGTGTTAAATTTACATTGGACTATAATTTGAGAGATAACTTTTATAAAATGATGTACTAATGCTAATGGTATATGACACCAGCTAAATTGTCTAAAATGTATAAAGAATATCAAATCAGTGTTGGAAGTGTGAAAAGGAAGAGACGACTTTTTATCATGTATGGTGGACTTGTGAAAAAGCATACACACACACAGACACAGGGTACAAATTCATACCATGATACAAAAGATATTATCGACTACTATCATGATGAAACCAGAATTATTCTTACTGGGTTTTATGGACAAGGAATTAGAAAAGAAATATGGGAAATTAATATTGTATATGGTAACTGCGGCAAGATTATTGTATGCAAAAAGTTGGAAAAGCAATGAAATGCCTCCAGTGGGATTATAAAATTAACTGAACTTGCAGAAATGGTGAAGCTGACCAGTTTGGTCAGAGGAAAAAAGATAAAGACATTTTTAAAAGACTGGAACCCTTATATGGACATTTTGCTGAAAGAAGGGGGGGGGGGACCAAGTTGGTGATTTGGAGATTAAAAATGGGACAAAGAGGTTGGGGAAATTTTTAAGATGATAATTACTTGATAGAAAGGAAAGCGGAAGGCACAATTATATGTTTTTTCTTTTTTAAAAAAAAACTTTCTTGTTTCGCTATTTCTTATTTTCTTAGTTCTTATTTGTTTTGTATATTTTACTACATTGAAAAATTATAATAATGTATCTATATCTATCTATCAAGAAACATGTAAGACGTTCCTGTACAAATGGCAAGTCATACACATTCATATATAAATGACCAGCAATATGAATAACTTATGAAATAACAAATAATATAATACATATATTAGTACAAAAAGTACTAATATATGTAACAGAATCCACTTTTCTTTATAAAGCAAACACTTGAATAGACTCTTAGAGCTGCATTCAGATTGAAAAGTAGCCTAATTCATGAGGTCCAGCCAGTTCAGCAATATATGAAAGTGATAAACCTCCAAAGCTTCATATATAATAGTAACTGCACAATTCAGAATCATAATTTATACACAAGCATGTGTGTGTCTATTAGAAAAGCAATATTTTTATTAACCAACTGAAGTTTTACAGAATAGTTGCAAATCTATAGATTCCTTAGACTTCTTCAGCAGGCAAAATATTAGAAGCCAGGAGGGGTGGGAAGGTGTTGGTGATGGAGAATTTGACTTATCTTGGCCATGTCATTATTATTTGACATCCTTAGTTGGTCAAAAGTTGCTTTAGACATGCAATTGGGTCTAGAATGTTATTAGAAGCACCAGTGGCTCTCCAAAACTCACTGGAAATAAGAAATAAGCAAATGTTCATAGTTCACATTTCTGGAGATAGAAATTCCAGATGTTAAAGTCAAAACTATTTCTATCCTACTATAAAAGTCAGTTCACAGATTGATAACAAGTCTAGTAATCATTTCCACAGCAATCACAGGTGCAAAATGTTCATCCCCACAAGTCAAATCTCCCTTTCATACTAAAGGAGTGTGAGAAAAAGAACAGAACCTCACTGCTTTATTTGCCTATAAACAGGTTTCTCATCTGAAAGCAAAGAACTCTCCCCAATTCTAGTGTGAGAAAAAGAACAGAACCTCACTGCTTTATTTGCCTATAAACAGGTTTCTCATCTGAAAGCAAAGAACTCTCCCCAATTCTAGTGTGAGAAAAAGAACAGAACCTCACTGCTTTATTTGCCTATAAACAGGTTTCTCATCTGAAAGCAAAGAACTCTCCCCAATTCTTGTGCTGTTATTCTAACCTTTGTTCTAATAAATCTTATAAATCAGAGCTCTGAGACATGTTCTTTGGATTAAACATTTTCAGTCCAAATTGATATAAAAAAAGACTGATACCTACCTGAGACACACAGCTATTTTTGGAAGGTGGAAAAAAGGAAGAAACTAGTCAATTTCTACCTGGAGAAAACTTAAGTTGTTGTTTTAGGTAACAAAATAAAAAAAATACAAACTGGTTCAGCTATAAATTGAAATTTGACCACATTTATTTTCCCCATTGTGCTTTATGATGAGTTCTAAGAAATTCAAAAGCTTTCAACCATTTTTTAAAACTTCACTGGATCAAAAAAATCAAAAGTCTATGGATTTTTTCCCCACGTTTTCCCCAACAATTACTACTTTTTAAAATGGAACTTATATTATGTGGCTTTTAAGGGACTTGTAACATATGAGACTTTATCACATTGACTTTTTAAAGAGAAACGAATGGTCATTCATTTCAGTCCACTGAGTTTTGTGGATACTTGCTTATAAATATGATATTTATAATGAAAACTTGTAATGATTATTTAAAGAGGGTTTTCAGGAAGAAAACTTAGCATTTTATATTATTCTTGCTCTGTCTAAAGCTACTGTGGTAGATTGTTAATGAAATATTATTGTAATATAAAATTATTAATTCCTAAAAATATTTATAAGTACTACTTTCTACTTATTATCTAGCACCTTTTTATAACAAAACATGTCAACCTTTGTTATCCCTATGTGTAAACATAAGAAAGAACTCTATCTTTGCTTACCTTATTATTGCAAACATTGAGTTAAAGTTCTTGCATTCTCTGCAGTGCAATGCTATCTTAATGAAGTGCTTAATTATCTTCATTCTTTTCAGCTGGTTGGTTTCTCGCAAAATCTCAGATGCTACCCAAAAGGTTTCTTGGTTTATTACTTCTTCAAACTTTTTTAAATTAGTACAGCTAAACTTAGATTTCAGTTTAAATAAGTCATCTATGTACTCTGTAGGTTCAATGTTGCGGAACAGTTCAAAATTACGCATTGAGAGTTGGGTAGCCACCTCTATAGTGCTGAGCTGCAGTAGAGAAATTTGGCTCTCTCTTAGCAATTCCTGAGCATCTTCATCTGAACACAAAGTTTCTGTCTCCATGTTATTTTTCAGATAGTACCTGAAATATATTTTTTTCACAAATTAATCTATCATTGTTAAATAAACAGCTTCCAAATGACTTTAATTATTGGATACCAATTTATAATCCAAAACGACTGATATTTTCTCACCTTCCACTAAGTTGTATTCTGTCAGCAAGTTTGGAGAGTTGATCTGGAAGTCTCCGTTGCTTGATGACACCCTCTGGAGTGACAGAGACCTCACATAAAGAATATGCATCTGGGGTGGTGGTTAAAGCAAACTCTCGAATTGCTTGAACAACCACTTCCTTTGCAGTTGTGTCCTTGCTTATCATAATATAGCGACTTTGCTGATCTGCTTTAAAAACTCGCAGAACCTGATCTGGTAAATCTGTAATTGAAAAAAAAATGTACCAAGACATATGTGAGGGTTCTTTGTTATCCAGGGACTGGACACACCACAGCGTAGCAAATCTGTATAAAATGCTTTGCAGCACACACCTTCCCCAACAACTACAGGCTATTGCTTTTCACCATCTAGTACTTTCAAGGTGACACATAGTCCTTTATACTCAAGCTAAAAGTTCAAATAAGAGTCCCAAATTCTATAAAGTAGCATATAACCTTTAAGTCTTTTTTTTTCACTGTTCTTGTGCTGGATGAAATAAGGTGCTGCCTCAATGTAGTTGTTCCTTTTTCACTGCTGCTGAGTTCCAGGCCAAGCTCCAAGCTCTGCTCTTAAGCAGTGGTGATTTTGAGCCCTCCAGCTGAGCTCCCAAGCCAAGCTCCAGGCAGGAATCCCAGTAGGATATGCTGCTTACCACAGTTGTGGTCTTCATAGTTGACTTGCAGTTCACTTGCCTGCCTACCTGCCAACTCCAGATGTTGATTTTTTGCTCCCTCACCTGCTCACCATTTTTCTATCACCTACATGCATACCCACACATGCTCTCCCTTAACATTTGCATTTGGTAGGCTAAGAGCCGGGGTGGGGTGGGTGTCAGCACGTCCTTGATGATGCCAGGGTATGGCTCAATTAGACAGGCAGCTGGAATGCCTGCGTAGCGGCTTGTAAGTAAATGAACCTTTTGCAGCCCATTGTAAAAAAAAATGAGCTGTGCTGAGCCTGAAGGGGGGAGGGGGGAAGGGGGAGGATATTGCTGCCTAGCTGCAGCCACTTTTGCCAAGCACAGACAATGCTCCCTGCTTCACTTCTTCCCATACCTCCCCCCCTTTTTATAGAAGGCCAAAGCTTCTGTTTGATCAGTTCCAATCTAACATTCATTATTTGGCATAGTTGACTTTTTGTTTTCACCATACTGGGACAAAAAATCTGCTATTACATTCTGTTTACCTGTGAGTTATTGTAAACCTGTAAGGTTGCAATGCTAGGTACCACCTGGTTAAATGTCTATTACTATTCCTCATTTGAAGCAACCAGGTGAGGGGCTGGTGATCACTGTGAATTTTCTCCCCCATAAATATACATGAAGTGCTTCAATGGCCCATTTTAGAGCACTGACTTCCTTTTCAATTGTATTGAATCATTGTTCTTGAGGTGTTAACTTCTTGGATAGGTAGATCACAGGATGGTCTCCATCCTCATATGTTTGTATTAACACTGCTCCTAGCCCTACATCTGAAGCATCCACCTGCAACATGAGTGGTCGGTCAAAGTCAGGTTCTTTAAGAACAGGACTTTAGCACAAGGCTTCTTTTAAATCTTCAAATGCCTTTTCCATCTGACTTGTTTTGATTCTTGCTTCTGGGTCAGATCAGTAAGAATTTGAACCCTAGAAGAGTAGTGAGGTATAAAGCAACTATAATATCCAATGAGCCCTAGAAAGGATTTTACTTCTTTTTTAGTCTGTGGAGGCTTAACTTGTTGGATAGCAGTCAGTTTTCCTAGTTCAGGGTTCACCTCCCCATTTCCAACTAAAAATCCTAGATATGTTAATTCATTAAACCGTAGATGGCATTAGGGTTGATTGTAAGTCCTGCATTCTTCAATTTGTTGACTACTTTTCCTAAGTGTCTTAGATTATCTTCCCAATTTGAGCTGTATATCACAATATCATCCAAGTAGGCTTCACACCACTTCCCTTTCCCTGGTAATACTCTATCCACAAGTCTGAAATGTAGCAGAAGCTCCATGAAGTCCAAAAGCCATTTTTGTAAACGGAAAGAGCCATTGGGGTGTGGCATATGCAGTTTTTTCTCTGGGTACCTTAATGGTATTTGCCAGTATCCCTTTGTCAGATCAATAGTAGAGAGATATTGGGCCTTACTCAGTCTATCCAAAAAGTCATCTATATGTGGCACTGGATTGCTGTCAAATTTAGCAACTGAGTTTACTAATTAATTCAGTAAGACCATCTGCCTGAGCATGATATGGACTAGTTCTCACTCCTTTTACTCCCAACACATCATAGAGCTGCTTTAGGAGGGTTGATTGAAAATTGCTTTCTTGATCCATCAATATATAATGAGGTATACCTATTTTACTAAAGATTTTTATCAATTCCTCTGCTATCCTCTTTGCTGTAGTAGTTCATAATGCAACTGCCTCTGGATAGCTGGTTGCATAATCACATACCACCAGTATATATCAGTTCCCTTTAGCTATTCTTGGAAGAGGGCCTACAATATCCATAGCCACTTTTACAAATGGTTCTGGCACAACAGGTACTTGTACCATTGGAGCATTATCTTGTCTTCCTTTCTTTTTGACTAACTGGCATTCTCTACATGCTTCACAATGCTTACTGACATCTATTCCAATTCCTGGAATGTATGGATGATCAGTGAAAAAGCAACAGTTACCAGTGTGTAATCAGTTCTTCATCACTGTTTAAGTCACACATATAGGTGATTAACCAGCAACTCAACCTGGAGGTGGGTGCCTCAGGAAAATACTAAGAATAGCACAACTTGATCAAATGGTGCATCTTGACAGGAATAATGCTTGACAAAAGTAAAAGGTTGTGATCATATTGCTATTCAATAAATTGCTGAAAAAGGCACAACCTACATTAATACCAATAATGTAGTGACTGCTTTGTTAGTGTCTATGGATGCCAATAGATACGGAAACCTTATCAAATTGCATCAGAGCCTAATGGCAGATATTACATATTTCAACAGCTGCTAGTGTGATATGAGGGAATCCATTTGTGGCCCAGAACAAGTAACAAAAAGATGAGAACCTCAGAGAAATGAAGAAATACATTTCATATGAGCTTTTCTGACATCAAATTCATGTAGGACTACTGAAGAGCAATCTTAAGGTTCAGGTGTAAATAGAAGATCAAGACTATGCTGGGCAAAAAGGAAGTGTCCTGGTTGCAAACTACCTTAAGCATCCTGGAGAACCACATAAGATTATCAATATGAACAGTGCAAGTTGGCTAGCCCATTGAGCAGAAAGCTGTTTTCCTAGCAAGCAGCTGTTGCAGACACGTGATGAAGGGCTCAAACTTCTGTACTGATGACTTGAAAGCAAACTTGTAATGGTTGCAGTACTGCTGCGAAGAAAGTCCAGGGAGTGGGCAGATCTGGATGGCACTTACAATGCATAATGACAAGATCCTGCTAGAGTAGAAGCCAAATTTATGTTTGACGGCACTGAGACTGAAGTGGGATGAACCAAGCTTGGTAAGGACACAATGGGGCTATGAAGATATAGCCAGTATCATCCTGAATAATTTTAGCCAGTATTCTAGTGATTAGCTGCTGGAGGGGGGGAGGGACCAGGGAGGCCTGGCAAAACTTGTGTTTTACTGAATTAGGACCATGCCCTACTCTACTGCAAGCACAACAGGTATTGACATCGAGGATTAATCTCTGGATCTATTTGTGAAAAAGGTTTCATTGTCTGAAGTCCCATTTCTAAGAGACAGATGATGCTTAGCTATGCATACCTGCCAGTATACTGTCTTTCTCTGCCAGACAAATGGCCACAAGAAAGAAATGCATACCAATCCCAAAACTTTCAGGGTAAAATTGATTAAAGATGGTATTTTTATGCATCATTTCTTCAAATACTACATTTATATGGCATTGTTCACAAGGATCTGAACAATCACTTGATTAAAATGCTAAAGGAAGATCACTCTTGAATATCATCAGGAGTTTCAGCTAATTGTTATAAAGAAGGTGCTTTTCCTGAAGTAACAGACCTCATATCTGTTCTAATGAGAGTTCCCATCTTGTATTGCATGGATATATAGTCAAGGTGACTGAACAAGTGAAGGTCAAGCTTCAGTGAAACTGGGTGACCAGATAATGGTTTGGAATTTAGGTGTGCAACGCACCCGAAGCAGTCATTCAGAAGAAAAAGAGTCCTAGTGTTTATGTTGAGACTTGATCTGAAGAATTGGATTATCTTATATGGAAAAATGTGATTTTTTAAAATGTTAATTTCTACATTACCTGGTGAAGAAATCAAGTAAAATCTAGATATGGTCCAAAGACCATATGGCCAGATATGGTAAAACCTATGGCAGAATCTCAATTATCCATTCATCTAGATATGGATTTACTGTAACTATGTTATCATTAGTGTCAGGCACTTCATAAAGACCCAAGACACTGTAGTCAAATCAAATAATTTCAAATAATGTCAAACAGATTTGATATGGTATCATACCGGTGGACAGTGGAAATATTAGAATAAATACCCATAGGATCCAGTGAAGCTTTTGACTACCCTGCTGGTTCCATCTGTGAAAATTAATATAAGCTTCCTGGAGTCTGGAAATTTATAGAAGCTTCCTGGAATCAAGCTGCATATGCATTTTTGTAATAAACAAATGTTGGAGTTTTTTGTTTCTCTGTAAGAGCCCTACATTTGATTCCTAGATAGAGCTTCTGTGCCTTATCCTATCTGTATCAGTTTGGGAACTAAAAAGGTATTTTCCTTCAGAGGGGAAACCTTCAAACCTAGCTCACAATTCAAAAGTAAGTTCAATAGTTTTGAGCCATAAGTTTCTCCTTGAAGTGACAGAATCTGCAGAATGAGGAGCAGCCATTAATTTGCCTCTTTGCAATAAGGACAGATTCTGCATAGAATACTCTTGTGTCAAACCCCTTAACTGCAGAACATGATCAAGCAAGCAAGATTCACTAGGGCTTTATTTAATTAGTTTTAATGATAAGAATTAGGGATTAAAGTACAGAATCTTGAGAACTGAGATGGGAACCCTGCAGTCCTCCTTTATTAGTGTGTTTGTTAAGGTGGAGAGTCTTTGAAACTTTTGAATTTATTCTCCTCAGACTACTTGCATCATAGGCTAACAATCTATTTCTATGATGTGTCAGTAACAACACCTGCCATCTGCTGATTGTTTGTGTTTGGAGATACTTCTTGTCCTCTCTCAGCCTCAGCATAATCTCTCACCCTCTGGTTATATTTCTTTTTATCACCAGGAAGAAAATTAAAGACAACACCTTCTCCCACAGGAAATGTGATTTTGCTAGGCAAGCTTGGTAATTCACCAAAGAGACAAGGACATGAATGAACAAAACTTGTAAATCATCATATCCAGTTTATGCTCATCCTTATCTATTGGGGTAGAATGTTGACTCTGTGAGCAATAACGAGATATAAATTATTGAGTTATATAGAAGGTACTGAAAAAGAAAGGAACAGACCTTTTCTTGAAGAATGTGAAGAATTTCAGGTGTTTTGAGGTAGATGGCATTGAAGAGAGCTTAAACAATGAATCCTTAGCCAAATTTAGGAAAGGTGGAAACATTTGTATTTGCATAGCTATTACTGTTTGTTTTGCACCAGGCCCTGCATTGGCTGCTCTGATTTTTGATCATTACACCACAGTGCATCATATAGTTAACCTGCTCTGTGAAGGACTGCATGTGCTCTAAGGAAAGAATTGTGTCTGATCTCCAACAATGGCATTCTATGAAGAAACGAACAGAGGTATTGAGATGGGTCAAATATTTTAAGATATACATAGATAGAATTGCCAGCAAAACTCTGAAAGCAGACATCTGAATAGCAAATTGGATTGATGGTATCATAGAAGAATGAATGGAGACTGCATTTCATAATGCATCTGAAAAGGAAGGAATGAAACAGACCTGATTTTGTTCACTAGCAATCTGGGGGAAAAAAGAATCTTGATAACGATACAAGGTGTGGGGAGAGAATGGTCTCTCACTTTTGGAATTTGATTCCTCACTTGGAGGCTCAGGATAGTTGATTAAAGCATCTGGGGTGTTAAATATACCCTAATTCAGCATCACTGGAAAGCAAGAGCAGCAAATAGGTTTAGATGGAGATTTGGGGGCAATCATAACTGCCATGTTGGCTGTACTCAGAGTCTGCTCCCAGATACATATATACAATGATTGCAGTGGGACTACTTTGTAATGGTTTCAGTTAAGAACATGTCTCCATGATTGCCTTTTATGGAACAGGGCACAAAAATGACTCTCCATAAGGAGAAGTGTGCCTCCGCAACTCCATTATCAAGTATTTTTAAAGAGGCCTGGAGGCCATAAATTCTAACAATACCAAGCAAACACTGAAAACGTGAGAGGAAGAACGGAGATGTTTCTGTACAGAAATCAAAAAAGGGCCAAGATGGTTGGCAGAAGTCCTGTCTTTTCATGAAGCATGATATAACGAGGTAGAGCTCCTGTCAAAATCTTAAGCTCTGAAACTCAGCAGACCACAGAACCGTTATATATGAATCACAGAACTAAAATTAAGAATTGAATGTTCTAATGTAATGCTAAACTGTGATTTGCTGAAAGTGGAGGCAATTTTTTAAATTTTTTTCATTTTGAGTGTACCAGTGATGAAAAAGGAGGGGGAACACACTATTTTGCAGTTCACACAAATAATGATCAATCCTAGTTTACTATAATGACAACATTCAACACTATACTTGTTCATAATTTGATGCTCTCTACATCTACAAAAATTACAAAAAATAAATTGAGGTATGTTTTAAATATAGTGACAATAAAGGTAGTCCTTGACCTATGGCCATTCATTCAATGACTGTCTGAAGTTACGATGGCGCTGAATGAATGGTGATTACGACCGATCTTCGGAGTTCTGGCCATCCCAACACCCCTGTGGTCACATGATTGCGATCTGGACACTTGGCAACCAGTTTGCACTTATGACTGGTTCCAGAGCCCCATGATCATATGATCGCTGTATGCAACCTTCCCTGCTGGCTTCCCCAAAAAGTCAAGGAGAAAGCCGGCAGGGAAGGTTGTAAGTTGCTAGGGTAAGTCTCCCCCACCCACACATTCTCTCTAGCCTCTCTTCACTTGTGCTGAGTCAGTCACTCATGCACCCTTCCCAACCCTCATGCCTCCCTCACACCCTCACACACCACCTTGCACCACCGCACCAGCCTCCCTGACCTGTGTCCTCCCCGAGACTCCCTTGTCCCTCCCACACTCCTTGACCCATGCCACGCCTCTTGAGCACCCCTTGCACCTCCACACACTCTGTCCAACCTGCGCTGTGATTCGTGTGCACCCCCCTCACCCTCTTGCACACCCTCTCTGACTTGCACCCTCATGTATCCTCCCCAACCTGCACCTCTCGCACACCCCCTTGCACCCTCCCTGACCCACACCTCCTTCACACCCCCATGCACCCCCACACACCCTCTTTGACCTGTGCTATGCCTCTTGAGCACCCGCACACACCTCCCTGACCCATGCTGCGCTTCTTGTGCACCCCCTTTCACTCTCGCCTGCATCCCCTCCCCAACCCTCCTGTGCACTCCAGCGCATCACCTTGCTTCTTTCCCTACCCAGCAGCAGCCACTTACCTACCTGCCTGGGACTTGCAACTTCCTGCCGGCTTCCCCACTGACTTTGGTTATGGGAAGCTGGCAGGAAGTTGCCTCGCCTAATGACTGTGGCATTCGGTTAACAATGGCAACAGGACTGCAGGGATTGCTGTCGCTAAGAGATGCAGTCACGCTTTACAACTGCATCATGTAGTGATGGAAATTCCAGTCCAAATTGCTGTCGTAAGTCAAGGATTACCTATATGCCTCTCACACAGGGATACTATAGAATGGTAGACACTATAACATTTAAGATTGCAGATATGTACATCTACTTTGAACTGCATTATTTCACAGTAAATTTAGCTAAAGGAAATGTAACATCTAATAAGTATCTTACATAAAACTGTAATTTAAAGATCTAAAGGGCTGTCACACAACTTCTCTACTGCCCCAGACAGCAGGTTCAGATCCAATGTTTAAAACCACAAGAAAGGAGATTAGGCTAGACACTAGGACAAACTTCCCAGCTATATGGGCTGTTGGCCAGCGGAAAATATTCCAGTGATATGGTGAGTTCACTTCTGTTAGACATCTTCAGGCAGAAGCTGGAGGGTCACCTGTCAAAGATGCACTAGTGGATCCCATAGTGAGCAGGGGGAGTTGGACTACATGACTTCTGTGGTCTCTTCCAACTAATGGTTTAAATTCTCTATGCTTGAAATAGCATTTAAAAGTCTACAGGCCAAACTACATCCCAGATTCATTTTGACATAGCTATATACACCCAGTAATAAATATAAATACATGCTACTTTGTAATAGTGCAGATGAGCATGAAACAGCAAACTCAGGGAGGCAGTGAAGGACAGGAAGGCCTGGCGCAATATGGTTCATGGGGTCACGAAGAATCGGACACGACTTAATGACTAAACAACAACAAATAGTGCAGAGTGGGGTTTTTTGGGTTTTTGTTTCAGTATCACTTATTTAATCCTA